GGATGCTGCCAAAAACATGCTAAATATGTTAGCAGTTAGTAAAATACTCATGTACTGCTACTCCCATTCTTTTAACTTGAGTTGTTTACTGATTCTCAGGTGCTTGTTCCTAAACCATTTAGTGCTGGTACTAGCCATTAAGCTACTAATGTAACTTAATTATTATGTAAATGATGAAATAAGGATGCAAAATAAGTTGAATGCTTTAGAAAGACTTAATTAGAGGGAAAAAAAGTTGTTGTATTAGGTATGAAAAGGAAAACTTGAAAAGATAGGAAAGGGGAACATAAAACATTAGGATTTCTCACTTGCTTTACAAATTTCTAAGCTCTTAACTCTTCAGTTAACAGTTTCAGTTCTGCAGACCACACCGTGACAGGGTATAGAGTATACCAAACAATAGGAACTATAGTCAGCATAAATATACTCAAACAAAAGTCTTGAGCACTGTATCAAATAATTGATAGAAAAAAGTACCTTTAGGCAGGTACGGTTGCTTGTGACTGCAAGCCCAGCTACTCAGGGAGGCTGAGGTGGGAAGATCGCTTGAGGCCAAAAGTTCAAGAAAAAAGTACCACGTTTTATGATTCCTTGCTTTAATTGGCTCTTATGAACTGAATAATTACTGATACTGATTCATTCAAAAACAGTATGATTCAAAGAATCTTAATATACTAAAGAGACCTACCATTCTAAAATCATGACCAATCATCTGTCCTTTTGATTGCTAAAGAATTCAAGTTGAATGAGGCTGTGCTACAAATTAACCTCAAACACCAGACTGTCTATTATTGTTCAGACACTGGCTGTTGATGATCTCTTACCATTTTGTTTAAAACCTTAACACATCCACCTTAAATCCTTTTGTGAAACAACATAAGGCTTTAAAACTTAAAATAATTGTGCTAAGCATGGAACCTGATGCTATTGCTAAACAATTTTGGCTAGTCTAATATCATTCAACTTTCCACTTCCATCACCTGGATTATTAGGACAGCATATGGGCAAGGGAAAAAGAGTCTATAATTGTGTTGGGAACCTGTATTAATAACCAAAATCTGCAGCTGGATATAGGGTTACACAGTAACAAGTTATATATGACTTCAACCTTCAGAGCTGAACAGCCACAAGAATTGAACATTTTTTTTTTCTTTTTTCTTCCTTTAAATGACTCCAGGAAGAACAAAGAATTGAACTATTCTTACAGAGTTCATAATCACTTACTTGCCTCTGGAATATCTGGCTTGAAATGTATGGTGATTCTCATAAAACACAGCACCTCGCTATTCTAGGCTTTGGTTGTTAAGTCTCCCCAGTGACTGAAATGATCTTCAGATACCACATGAACTTAAGCTGAATAAAACCAATGTGTTACTATCCAGATAGGACCAAAGGGAGTATTATAAAAAGTTACAGGGTAAAGCCCTCGGTTCTTTCACTTCCCAACCCCTTAAATACCATAATCTGGCTAAATCATCATTGAATATAATTTTGAAGGGATGATACCACAAAAAGCATAACATGCATGCATTTTGACAGCTGAGATGTACTCCTGGAGATATCCGCCTGTGTAAAGTTGTAGACATAGGTGGCACAGAGGGATCGGTGACCTTAACTCTTAAGTAGACAACAAACCTAAGTCACAGGATCCATTAAGGTTCCACCACCAGAAGAGCCAACTTTCACACAAAGGTCTTTTATTTCCAGGAGTCATTCCTTGAAGAAACAACACATATTTGATGTAATGTTTATATAAGCTGTCAGCCAAGACATTAAAATAGCCGCCTTCTAGAGCAGTGGTTCGCAACTGGGTATAGATTTTGTCCCCAGTGGCCATCTGGCAATCTCTGGAGACATTTTTTGTTGTCGTGACTGGGGGAGTGCAACCAGCATCTAGTGGGTAGAGGCCAGGGATGCTGCTAAATATCTCACATTGCACAGGACATTTCCCAACAACAAAGAATAATCTGGTCCAAAATGTCAATCGTGCTGATGTTAAGAAAACCTATTTTAGAAAGCAGAATATACTCATGGTGTTCCAAGAACCAGATTTTGGCGAGGTTGGGAGAAGGCAAACATTGAAAAACTAGCTGAGTGGAAGCAGCTGTTTTTTTGACGTTTTTAAAACCTTAACCACACAGTTCCTTTCTTTCTGGCCCATCTACTTTGCCAACCCTTAATCCCACCTCTATAGGCTTCGTAACTTAACCATCCAGCTGGCTTGTTCCGCTTTGGAATCATACCCCGGTCTCTAAAGCAACCCTCCCAGGCCCTCCTGTACGCTTTAAAAGGGAAAAACAATGCTGCAGGAGAGAAGGTATGATTTCTGAGGAAAAACCAGAAAATACACGTACATAGTCATTCATATCTCTGAACTGCAAACCCTCACTTCATTTCAGCTACGATGAAGGACAAGGTTTGTTTGGCAAATGGGAGGAGGAAGAAAGTATTAAGAAGGAAGAGATGCCCCACTCTCACCTGATATTTGGGAGAATATGAAGGGGAGGGGAAAACTACAGACACACTATGAACTCAAGGACACTAACAAGGTACAGAACTCAGACAAGAACCTGGGTCAGAGCACAGGGAAGTGGATAAAATACCTTAATTAAGAATAAAATGTGGGGAATTAGATGAATGTTTTCATGCGCTGAAGAAAACATACTTATGGTAATTCCCAAAGCGAGAACAGATTTCGTATCAAAATGTAACTATGTAACTTTTATATTGCCACTATGTAAATGAAAGTTATATATTGCCACTTCACTCCGACAGGCTGGCTAGTACAGAAGAGAGAAGCAAGTCTTTATTAAAACCCATCTGAAAGGGTCTTAAAGATACAAAATAAAATTTTTCCCTGCAAGAAGATCTTAAATTTATATGGATACACTATATAACTTATATCCTTATTAGAACTAGATGTACTGTAAGAAATTTTAGAACCACAACATAGAAAACAAAAACCGACGCTATAAAAGAAAAAAGTAAAGTAACAAAGCCCAACAACGAAAAAGAGAAAGGTAATGTAACTTGATCCTGCTGATTTGAAAGAGGTAACCATCACCTCTGAAACAAACTATACTCTTTCAGAATAACAAACCCCTTCACTTCTGTTTATTCTTTTCTCCACTTAAATATATAAGATCAGTCGTAGTCTAAAAGAGAAAGACTTAATTCTAAGTAGCTTAAATGGAGCTTCTATGGTTTTTTTGGCTAAGATTTTGAACAATCTAAATCCTTTCTTTAAAAAAAATAACATATTGAACACCTACTATATGCATATTCTATAATAACTAAAAAGTTTCAGAGAGCTGGGTGTGATGGCTCATGCCTGTTGTAATCCTAACACTTTGGGAGGCAGAGGCCAGAGGATTGCTTAAGGCCAGGAGTTCAAGACTAGCCTGAGCAACATGATAAGACCTTATTTCTACAAAAAAACAGAAAAATTAGCTGGGCATGGTGGTGCGTGCCTGCACTCCCAGCTACTTGGGAGGCTGACACAGGAGGGTCACTTGAGCTAGGAGTTCCAAGTTGCAGTGAGCTATGAGGCCACTGCACTCTACTTCCCACAACAGAGTGAGACCCT